TTTTTTTTCTCTCTTTGTCATTTTGATTTATTTACAGGGATGATGGAGGAGACTTCAGTTGTGCATCATTTGTATGTTTGGATGAGGAAGGCTTGGATTAGGAGTACGTAGGTCTTGTTAGGAATTATGTTTGTTGTAGAATAAAGATTGGTTAACTATGTAATAACTATTGAATCTTCAAGTTTTATGAAAGAAACTATTTTTGAGTGTATATATTCATTAATAAAGCATTATGGTTGGTTTTCTAGTTAAAATCGTTGTATAGCATCATAGGAAATCAAAAAGAACTAAAATGTAGCAATTTGGGAACTTATTAGACGACGGTTTTTATAATAAATTATGATCTTTACAGATAATTAACGACGGTTTTTATAAAAAAGGTCGTCTATTATAGGTAAAGATGACGTTTTTTTTATAAAAAGAATCGTCTATTATATATAAAGATGACGGTTTTTTTTTTTTTAAAAGGGTCATCTATTATATGTAAAGATGACGGTTTTTTTAAAAAATGGTCGTCTATTGTGAAGTAAAGATGACTGTTTTTTTTTTTAAAATGGTCGTCTATTGTATGTAAAGATGACAGTTTTCATAAAAAACCGTCATCTTTACATACAATACATGACGGTTTTTAAAACCGTCGTCTTTCATCCTCTAATTAACGATCTTTACCTTTAAACAACGACGATTTTCTTTTAAAACCGTCGTCTTTACAGATAAACAACGACAGTGAAAAGCCGTCGTAGTTTGACACCCAAATAGACGGCGGTCGATTTAACGACGGATTTCAAAGCATTACAATGACGGTGGATCCCCGTCGTCTATTTCGTTTTTTGTAGTAGTGTAGATTTCAAGAAAAGAAATCATGAGACTAATATACAACACTAGAGCACAAAGATCAAAGGGGAGAGAGAGAGAAGAGAAGGGTTTGAAAGTCTACATGGGTTGCTTGGTAGGAGGGGACAGATGTGGGAGAAGGGATGGGTCTCAAAGCCTCTCCTTTGCGATTTTACCTCTACTCGGTTATCAGGGTCTAAGGGTGTTGGGGTTTGGAATGAGGCTGCTGGGTTGTGGTGGCTGGGAGGAGATATTGGCAGCGATATCAACCATCCCCACCCACCACCTCCATCGATATTGCTAGGGTCGGGTTGTTTTTTTATATTTACGTTTCTAATTTTATGTTATTTTATTATTTTACTTTTTTTAAAAGATAAAGATTTTTTTAAAATATTTTATTCCAGGTTAAGTAAAAAATTGAAGCCTATATTTGCCACATCATCATTTAACATATATTAGCAGCCTAACTAACAAAGTTACTAGTCTGTATGTTTTCTGTAAGGTTGGGTACAGGGATAGACCCAAGAATTGCAAATCGGGTGGGCTAAATTTACCTTAAGTACAAACTTATTACAAAAATTTAGTGAGCTTTGGTGGATTTTGGAGGGTTGTTGTAGATTTTTAGGCTTGGACAATAGATTGTAGGAACTAAAAACTAGAGATAACCCACACTCAACCGCTTCACTCATAGCCAATGGTGGACCCAGAAATATTTGTAGAGGTAGGCTAAATTTTTTTGGGGTAAATTATAAGCCCTTGTTTGTTACAATTTTTATTTTTTAAATTTTATATAAGCACTCTTTTTTCAGTATATTTTCTTCAAATATTTAGAACTCTTTGTTATTATACGACATTTGAAACAGAGAAAATGTTGGAATTATTGATAATATTGTTGATATATTTGGAAGATATTGAAGGGAAACAAAGAAAGAAAAAAAGAAAAAATATTTAGAAGGAATTGAAGTAAAAATAAAAACATTACTTTTTGTTGGGCAGTGCACCTGACAAAATAAAAACACATCTCATCTCAACACATATCTCCCTCTTCTTCTTTTCTTTCTTCTCTCTCCGTCTGCTCCATCTCTCTATTCTTTCTTCTTGCAGCCGGCTGATTTCTTGTCCATGTCGGGCTAAATGTTATTTTAAGCTGAGAAAAAAATAAAAGCATCCCCGGGTTGTAGCCCAGGTTAGGCTATATTAAGGTCTGTGCCTGGTTGTGTATCTATGTGCAAAAATTTTAAGGTTGGGTACTAGTTTGAAACGACCCTCAAAGTTTGGATATTTTTATGTAGTTGACCCTTTTTTTCATATCATATATGTTTATATTTTTAATTAACTTTAAAAGTAAAGTACTTTTTTGCCATTTCATTAGGAAAAAAAAGGTCACAATCAGACATGCCACGTCAACACTTCAAGGCTCCTCTGACGGTGTGAATAACGTATGAAGGATCTAATTTGTATGTTTTCACGAGTTAATGTATCTACGTGCAAGATTTTAAAGGTTGGGTAATAATTTGAAACAACCCTTAAAGGTTGGATACTTTTATATAGTTAACCCAAAAAAGAAAAAAAATTAAACATATATTCTGAAAAAGAAGTAGCTTTCAAAATGAAATCTTGAAAACCCATTTCTATGCATGAACACTCTCATACAAACCAAAGAGAGAAAACCAAGTTTTCCAAAAATAGTGAAAATGAAAGTGATGAGAGATGAAAACTTTGTATCACTAAGCAAAAGTTTGAGAAATGAAATTTCAATGAAATCCCTAAAAGGAATTCAAGAAACCATGAACTCTTCTCCCAAAAAGTAAAACCTAATTTACACACACTTTCTCACTAGAACTCTCTCTCTCTCTCTCTCAAACCCATATGAAAAATGTAAAATGAGAGAGTTGGTGAGTCCAGACCAGCCCCAACCTTTTTGGTAAAAGTAGACAGTCAAAAGAACACTTGGCAGCCAAGGATTGGACTTATAATAAGCAAAGTCACGTGCCTTTATTAAAAATCTCATGCTGGAAATATTTGGCCTACATGACTAGTCATACAAAGTATTGTGATGCAGATTCTGATTTTCTTAATGATGCCCGTTATAAACAAATGCACAAATTATCTTGATTTTGTAGCCTCATAAACTCTTCAATCTATTTCAACTTTTTAGCAAATACCCAAGTCCTAATTTCTAAATATGAGCTAAGAGGAATTACACACATGACAACTAATGATGACTAGAATATGGTGGTTTTTTGAGCCCACACATTATGTAAGTTAACACATTTATACTACTATGAAGTGCTAAAATCAATATTTCCCATTGATTTTTAATTTTCCAAACATATCTATTATGTGCAGGAATCACTGTCAGGACTATGCAGAACTTCGTTATAAGGAATTTGGTGATCGGGTAAAGTATTGGATCACATTGAATCAGCCGTGGACCTTTAGTCGTGGTGGTAAAGCATTGTTGCTAATGTTTAATTTGCTTTTATAAATTATATGCTTTTAGTGGTTCCTTAATCATTCCAAATCAAACTATGACATTAATTAAATTTGGCTTTTTATCACAAATGGTCCCTTAGGTTTGCGAAATTATCACATTTCGTCTCGAATGTTTTTTTGTGACACCAATGGTCCTTAAGGTTACCTTCCACACATCAAAATGGTCCCTGTTGTTAGCTTCCATCAAATTTTCTATTAAATGGCTGACGTGACACGTGTGTGGAGCCCACACATCCAATAGTATACATCCACATGGCTTTAAATAAAATATATTATATTTTAAAACTTAAAATCCAAAAAAAAAAAAAAAAACAAGAAGACCTGCACCATCTGCGTTCTCCCTCTACCAGCGCCTCCTACCCTCGTAGACCCACTCTTTGCCTCTCTCTTCCTCCTCTTCCTCCCTTCTCTTTCTCTCTCTCTCTCCCTCATCTTCCTCGATTTTTACAGGCTGATCTACCATAGCTTGATGTAGTTTTTCCTATGACCCCACAGATTGGCTGAGGCTGCAATACTACCAAAGACTATATGGGATAATATTTGTTTTGGCCTCTTCGGGTTTTTCTGGGGTTGGGGCTATACTTGGCTGAAGAATTGGAGCCTCTTGGGGTTTTTTGGCTCAGCTTGTGATTGGACATGGGCAGTAAAAGCCATAGCCTTTTGGCTTTGTACAATTAAAAAAAGAGAGAAAGAGAAAGAGAACACATGGAGAGGGATAGAGAGAAAGATAAGGGAGGAAGAGGAGGGGGAGAGGCAAAAAGTGGGTCTGTTGAGAGGAGGGAGGCGCTGGCAGAGGGAGGCATGGTGCATGTCTTTTTGTTTTTTTTAATGGATTTAAGTTTTAAAATATTTAAAATATATTTTATTTTATTTAAAGCCACGTGGCTATATACTATTGGGTATGTAGGCTCCACACACGTGCCACATCAGCAATTTAATAGAAAATTTGATGGAAGCTAATGGCAGGGACCATTTTGATGTGTAGAGAATAACCTTAAGGACCATTAATGTAAAAAAAAAATGTTACTAATGAAAAATGATAATTTCGTAAACCTTAGGGACTATTTATGATAAAAAGCCATTAAATTTTATGTGCCTTATATTTTTCAAGGCCTCACAAATGTCATTTAGGCTAGGCAATAATGCAATAATTTAACATTTTAGCTTCACCAAATGATTATTTTTTGACGATCTTTTAAATTTAATTTTTCTTTTTCAGGAACATTTGAGATGCTTTAACCGTTGCATGCACAGTGTACATGTGTCTTGAGACTCCTGGCTTCTTAGCTGTGCTGTGATGTATCCTTCCTCCATTTATAAACCCCGTCAAGGCAAGGCCAAGCTATCTAGATCTCCAAAACCTCAAGTTATGGCAATCCAATTAGGATATTTGCTATTAGGAAGTTCTTTTCTGCAACTAATTGGCTTTGCATTGGCAAATAGCCAAGCCACCATTCCAGTTACACCCAGTCAGTATGACACTGCTTTCCTCAACAGAAGCAGTTTTCCAGCTGGGTTCATTTTTGGCTCAGCTTCATCTTCTTACCAGGTGAGTCTTTTCTCTTTTGGAGGCTTAATTACCCTTTAATTTTTGTTTTAATTACTTAATTAGTTTCTTCTTGCCAGACTAAGCATCCATGCATGAACATTGGCATCTTCATTCTGTACTCTTTTATGTGTGTGTGTGTGAATTTTAGTATGAAGGTGCTGCAAGAGGAGGTGGTAAAGGACCAAGCATATGGGATACCTACACCCACAAACATCCAGGTGGTGTGTCTAGGCTTTGTTTTCTTTATCCACTCTTAATATTCTGTTTTTCTTCTGTCTATGAAGTCTTAATTTCGCTCTCTAATTCGGTTGTTACCCATACCGTCACTAAACTTGATTTCTTAGATTTGCGTTTTTTCGTTGATAAAAATGGTTGCTAATACCTCACAAATGGACATTTTATTGCTCAGGGACGACCCTATTTTTCATACAGAGCAGAGCATTGCTAGGAGAAAAAAATTGATTAATCAAATTCACTTATTAAACAATGGACCAAGTTTTAATTTTTTTTTTTCTAGTGAGAGATAAGGCCTAGTTAGTTATATAATAGTCGTGCTTTGATAATTTTTTGTTTTTGTTTTTTTAATTGCAGAAAGAATCCAAGATGGCAGCAACGGAGATGTGGCTATTGATGAATATCACCACTATAAGGTTTAAATTTTGATCACATAATTCTCATTGTTTTTTCTTAGAAAAAACAAATTTGACAAACACAAATGCCTTGTTTGCTTTGAGCCCAGTAAGAGAAGAGAACATAGCTATAGGAAATTGAAAATGAGATCCTTTTAAGGTTCTTTTTTATAATTATATCTTTTGTGTTATTGTAGGAAGATGTGGGGATTATGAAGAACATGGGGTTGGATGCTTATAGATTCTCTATCTCATGGCCAAGATTGTTACCGAGTGAGTTCATCAATGACATTCGTGTATATATTCTACAGAACATGTCTCTTCCTTGAAATAATAATTCACGTGGCCCTCCTTCTATATCGTTGTATATAAGCAACTAAGAAAGTGTTGCAAGCTTAGCTGTGTTATCAGTTAAAGTCGTTATCGAAAAAATTGAACCAAGAGAAGAAATAGTTTACCATTGGCCCTTTCTTTCCTTACCACTTATTATTGATTGAGTTATTTGTGTATTTGCTTGTTTTGTTCTTATTTATTAGATGGAAAGCTAAGTGGAGGCGTGAACAAGGAAGGAATCAAATACTACAACAGTTTCATCAACGAACTCCTACACAATGGTGAAGCAGCTTTCTATATATAATCACATAAAACCTCAATATCAATCCCACCGAAACACCACTTAGTCAACTTTTTTCTATTACTCATGCAGGTCTAAAGCCATTTGTAACCCTCTTCCACTGGGATCTTCCCCAAGCCTTAGAAGACGAATACGGTGGTTTCTTAAGCCCTCATATTATGTACGTGAACAAATTCAGATATACCATTTCAAATATGTTTGAAACCAATATTTGGCATTGGATATTAATTTTTACAACCATCATTCTATATATATATGTGTGTGTGTACAGAAATCACTTTCGAGACTATGCAGAGCTTTGCTATGAGGAATTTGGTGATCGGGTAAAATACTGGATCACATTGAATGAGCCATGGAGCTATAGTGTTGGTGGTTATGCAAAAGGGGACTTTGCGCCCGGACGATGTTATGTGTGTGTGTGTGTACAGAAATCACTTTCGAGACTATGCAGAGCTTTGCTATGAGGAATTTGGTGATCGGGTAAAATACTGGATCACATTGAATGAGCCATGGAGCTATAGTGTTGGTGGTTATGCAAAAGGGGACTTTGCGCCCGGACGATGTTCTGATTGGCAGAAGCTAAATTGCACTGGTGGGGATTCAAGTACAGAACCATATGTGGTGTCACACAACCAGCTCCTTGCACATGCAACTGCTGTAGAATTGTACAAGAAGAAATATCAGGTTTCTTTTTTTAGCGCGCTGGGCTAGAATTAGCTCCTAAATTGAGAACTATATGTGAATAATGGAGAATTATTCTGTATGACTCAGTAATCCTGTTATGTTCAAAATTAATCTGCAGGCATCTCAAAAAGGTCTGATAGGTATAACGCTATTGTCACATTGGTTTGTGCCGATTTCTGAAGCCAAGCACCATAAAAATGCTGCATTACGAGCCTTGGATTTTATGTTTGGATGGTCAGTACCTAATATAAATCTGTAACTCGCTTACAATGCTTACTAGCATAATCTAATATTTGTTTCCCGAATATATATGTTAATAGAACATTAATTTAAATACATTGAACAAATAAAAATATGCTTTATGAATGTTTGGCTTTATAATAAGCCAACTTTCCGGCAATATAACATGCCAAATTTTCCGACAAGAAAATATCCTATTTAGCATTAAGTTTGTAATGGGAATTTCCACCTTTTTGTAGGTTTGCGGAGCCAATAACAAGTGGTGACTATCCACACAGTATGCGGTCTCTTGTTGGAAATCGTCTACCAAACTTCACGAAAGCAGAATCTAAATTGCTAAATGGATCATTTGATTTTCTTGGATTAAATTACTATACTACTTATTATGCAGCCTATGCACCTCAACATAATTTTGTAAATGCAAGCTACTTGACAGATGCTCGTGCTAATTTTTCATGTACGTAGTTCAAATTCAAAGCTTGTTGATTACCAATTTTTAAGTTTCTCATAACAATTAGATTTTGACTGTATATATTGTGGCAGCCGAGCTTAACGGGGTCTCTATTGGTCCAAAGGTACACATATCAAATTAGCTTAGCTGTTAGCGTTGGTATTATTAATTGTTTTTCACAGACAAATGTAACCTCTACAAATCTCTCAATTTCTATGGTATTACAGGCAGCTTCAGATTGGCTATATGTTTATCCAAGAGGAATTAAAGATCTTTTACTCTACACAAAGAGAAAGTATAATGATCCACTCATTTACATTACAGAGAATGGTAACTATTTAGTTAGTTGCATCACCAAGTTTTCACATGTAGTGTAATTATTGCTATTAAGTATACATTTAAAATGAACTAACTATTAAGCTAGTGACATTTCTGTGCAGTTTGTAATAATTAAAGGAGTTAGCCCTTCTCTTTTTTGAAAATGAACAAGCTTAAAACTAAAAGACTAACATGTTACATATTTGTTGCAGGGATTGATGAGTTCAGCCATCCAAAATTGTCACTTGAGGAAGCCCGTAATGATAGCCAGAGAATTGACTACTACTATCACCACCTCTATTACGTTCAACGAGCCATCAAGTAAGTGCTCAACAAAGCCTATACATATTCCCTGTGTTGTATATGTGTGTGACATATATATATATATATATTTATTTATAAATACACATATGACATAAAGATGTCTTCATATATATGAATGTAACATATATACACTACAGCCAACGGGGTCTAGCCCAGTGAAAAAGGGCATTGACTTGCAGACTTTCAAGTCCTAGGTTCGAACCCCATGACATCAGATGTGTGTGTATGAGAAACCCCCTCCCCTCTAATTTAGACTATCGCTTGTACTAAAAAAAAACATATATATACTATGTACATTCATATGCATATATATGCCTAACCTTTTTAGGTTTTGTTAATTCCATCTTTTTGTGCAGGCACGGTGTCCATATTAAGGGATACTTTGCATGGTCTCTGTTCGACAATTTTGAATGGAATAATGGCTACACTGTTCGATTCGGTATGAACTTCGTGGATTACAAAAATGGGTTGAAAAGACACCCAAAACTCTCAGCCCATTGGTTTAAAAAGTTCCTAAGTAAAGTTCCTAAGTACTAGAGAAATCGAATTGCAGACGTTGTTTGTGACCAAAAAAGTAATGTATAATGTGAATGTTGTTTGTGTATGAACAAGAATAAACAGTCAGTTGGGTGACCAAATTCCATTTGACGTTGTGAATTCCGATGGGTTCATATTGATCTCAAATTCTGATTGTTCTAACTTCTAATTATCTATGTTTAATGCGGATTTGATTAGGTTATTGTTAGGAACCAACCCCTTCTTTGGGCCATGTGCATTAGCCCAATAGATCACCTAGCTATTTCCCCCAAATAAGATATATTTTTCTTTTTCCGTATTTTCAGGAGTTGGTTAGTTTCTCTCTCAACTGATTACCAGTTGGCAATCGAAGCTAGCTGTATAAACACCACTCTGCTTTGTGGAGAAGATATGAATGAGAATATAGTTGAATCCTTTCCCTTTCTTTCTTATGTTTTTCTTGCTAAGTTTCCCTTTCAAGTCCAAGGTCTCAACATTTGGTATCTAGAGCCTGGTTGCCACCATGGGAAGAAAGGGGTAGACAACGGCCTCCATGGAGGTCGCTGCCATTGCCGAAGCCGAGCTTGATACTCAACACGAATTGTGGGATTCTCAAATTCAGGAGTTCCAAGCAACGGTGACGGTGCTAGCGGTATAGCAAGCGGCGGTTCAGTCAAACACATGTCATATGTGCAGAAATCCTTAGCCGCTCACCAAGATCAGAACGCCGCTTTCCAAAAGTCGATGTTGGCGGAGATCCGCGGCTTTTGCAACCGTAATCCACCGCCCTTACCAAATCAGTCGGAACGTATTACGTCTACTGGACCACCACCACATAGCACGGTCCTGTCTTCATCGGCTACCGTGCTAGGGTCTCCGGGAGGCATGGGCACGATAGGGGGTATTTTCTCGACTAATCACACCTTCACAGCACCTAATCATCCAATATTTACTGGTGCCGGACCCTGTTTGGGATTCTTGGCGTCGAATCCATATATTCCACCTACGATTGTTTTACTAGGAGCATCGAACTATGGGGTCGCCATCGTTGCAACACCAGATGCCGATACCTTAATACTCTCAGCCACCACTAAGAACAACGGTGAACCATTCGCTATTGGGATTACACACCGCTTAGTCGGGACCGTTCATGTCACCAGAACCACACATTCCCTATCACTCAGCATCTTAGATGATGCCGGTAAGTCCAAGACCTAATTATCCCCATTTTTCTAGCATGAAACCCATAAAATTGGATCTTCCTCGTTTCTACGGTGAAGACCCCTATGGCTAGTTGGCAATGGCGAAGCGATTCTTGGAATACCACGAGGTAGAAGAATCCAGAAAAGTCATGGTGGCGGCTATGCACTTGGGTGGTGACGCAGCCCTCTGGATGAAATGGTATGAGGCCAGGTATCCGAGAGACTTGTGGGCCATTTTTTCCGAAATGCTTCTTCAACGATTTGGGCCAGGGGAGGCTTTGAATGTTAACGCGGCCCTTTCATAGATACGGAAAATGGGCTCAGTTGCAGAGTTTGTGGCCCAATTCATGAAACTGTCTTGTCGAGCTGTGGGCTGGACTGATGAGCTTCTCTTGGGCGCGCGTATTTGTTGGAGGTCTGAAGAAGGAAATTCAGGATGATGTTTTAGCTCTTGAGCCCAAGATTTTGGCTCGAGCCATGCAACTAGCCCAAATTTATGAAAATAAGTAGATTAAGAAAAGGGTTTCATTTAGGGCAAATAATACCAAATCCTTTCAACCACCATCTTTTCCATGAACGAAGCCACACTTCTCCACACCAGGGGTCACCTCCAAACCACCAACAGTTTAACGTAAGGCTCAAACCGAGCTACAAGAACGCCGTTTGAAAGGATTGTGTTTCTACTATGATGACCCTTATGTTCCAGGTCATAGATGTAAACAGTCTCGTGTTTTCATGATTGAGGTAAAAGGAGAAGATATGGGAACTATGGAGGCAGGTTCAAGTGAGGGGCTGGATGCTATAGATGAGCACCCAACCCTAACAGATGATACTCCCTTACAGCTTCATGCTATCGCCGATAAGAGAAAGAGAGGGAGAGCCATGAAATTAATGGGGCAAATTTTGGGCATTCCCATTCTGGTTTTCATAGACTCTGGTGCCGACAAAAGTTTTATAAACCCATGGATTGCAGAGCACCTGCGCCACCCCATTGATAGGACATGCATTGAAACCGTGGTGGCTGCCTCGGGTAGCCCTCTAAAAACCAAAGGCATGCTCCGACAGGTTCCAGTCCAGATACAAGGATACGAATTCTAGCATGATTACTGCCTTTTGAATGTGATTGGCTGTGACATGGTTCTGGGCATGGACTAGTTAGAGACCTTGGGATTGGTAGGATGGCATTTCAAGCACATTGTTGAAATATAATCCTTCTGCAGATTTCTTAGAGCTGAGGTCATTTTCTATTTCTGTTATGTCTATTTTAAATGATGTAATGAGAGCCATTAGATCGTAGTCTAGGTGGATTCTCTAGCTTAGATTTGGTATGACAAGTGTAATCACCTCATAGGGTGACAGCTGTAATTCTGTTAGAAGAGAATCACATTTCTCTCTCTGTCACACACACTATGTAAGCTGCAGATTGTAAGAATTCAATAGAACAGTGCCTTCCTCATTTTCTCTTCATTCTCTCTAGCTAAAATCTCCAGAATATACACCTTTCCTAATCTGCAAATTTATATAAAAACATAGAATTCTAACATGGTATCAGAGCCAGGTTCGATTGTTTGCTGGGCGTGAATCTGTGAGAATCGAGGGCTGGTGTTTGGCTGAGCTGACGTTGAGCTCACTCAAAACTTCACGAAGTTTTTCTAGCTACATCTGATGTCTAACATGGCAGGATCAAGCTCTTCTGAGCTTCGTACACCAATTTTCAATGGAGAAAACTATGAGTTTTGGAGCATTCGAATGAAGACCATTTTGAAATCTCATGGTCTGTGGGATTTGGTTGAAAATGGTTTTGATGTTTCAGATCCAAAGAAGGAAAAAGGAAAGGAAGAAGGATCTAAAGCTGCTGAAGAAGAGAAGTCTACATCGGCTGAGATTTTGATGAAAGATGCTCGTGCACTTGGATTGATCCAAGGTGCAGTCTCAGACCAAATTTTTCCCAGAATAGTGAATGAAGAAACCTCAAAAGGTGCATGGGATATTCTGAAGCAGGAGTTTAGAGGCGATAAACAGGTACGAAGTGTGAAGCTACAAGGCTTACGTAGAGAGTTTGAATACACTCGTATGAAGGATAATGAATCATTCTCTGTTTATGTTGCTAAACTATTTGATCTAATTAATCAAATGAAAAGTTATGGCGAAGAGTTACCTAGAGAAAGAGTTGTGCAGAAATTGCTTATTAGCTTGCCTAGATCTTATGACTCTATATGTTCTGTGATTGAGCATTCAAAGGATCTTGACACTCTTGAAATTCAAGAAGTGGTTGCGTCTCTCAAGAACTTTGAGCTCATATTGGATAGGCACACTGAAAATTCCACAGAAAAGCCAAAATGCAGAGGATGTGGAAAGTTTGGACACATGGTTAGAGATTGCCATGGAAATCAACCTGTGTAGAAGGTGAATTATGCAAATCAGGTTGAAGAAACTGGAACACTGTTTTATGCATGCAATGCCATGACAGGTGTTAAATTGAACAATTCTTGGTATGTGGACAGTGGTTGTAGTAACCACATGACTAGAGATGAAAGGCTACTGATAGACATTCGAAGAGATGTCACTTCCAAGGTGAAAATGGGGACTGGAGAGACAGTTCAAGTTGCAGGAAAAGGCACACTTGTGATAGAAACCAAGACAGGCAGAAAACACATTCAAGAGGTGATGTTGGTGCCTGGTTTAGAAGAGAATTTGCTCAGTGTTGGTCAGATGATGGAACATGGGTATTGCTTAGTATTTGGAAAGGGATTGGTGACAATTTTTGATGATTGGTCACTGCAAAATCCTATAGCTAAGGTTCAAATGACTAGCAATAGGTGTTTCTCTCTCACAATGGTACTTGCTACTCAGTTGGTGCTGAGAGCAAGTATGACTCATAGTTTGCAGACTTGGCATAAAAGGCTGGGGCATCTTAATGATCAAAGCATCAGGATGTTGGCAAATCAAGACATGGTTCATGGACTGCCTAGTCTGGAGAAGGACTTTGGAGTTTGTGAAGGCTGCAAGCTAGGAAAGCAACATAGAGATTCATTTCCTGTAGAATCTACTTGGAGAGCTCAGTTTCCACTTGAATTAGTTCACACTGACATTTGTGGTCCAATGCAGATTACATCAATGTCAGAAAACAGATATTTCCTGTTATTCATTGATGACTATACAAGAATGGCTTGGGCTTATTTTCTCATAAATAAATCTAATACTTTTGAATGCTTCAAGAAGTTCAAAGCAATGACAGAATTGCAGAGTGGACACAAGGTGAAATCACTTAGAAGTGACAGAGGTGGAGAATTCATGTCAAATGAATTTCTTGCATACTGCATTGAGGCTGGAATACAAAGGCAGCTGACTGTAGCATATTCCCCTCAGCAAAATGGAGTTGCTGAGAGGAAGAACAGGACTGTAATTGAGATGGCAAAGTCTATGCTACATGAAAAGAGTCTTCCATATGAGTTTTGGGCAGAAGCTGTTCATACAGCAGTCTATCTTCTCAACAGGTGTCCTTCTAAGTCCCTTAAGAAGATGACACCATTTGAGGCTTACACTGGAAGGAAGCCAAGTATTGCACATTTGAAAGTGTTTGGATGTCTATGTCATGTGCTTATTCCTTCTGTTTTGAGACACAAGTTGGAAGAAAACAGTCACAAATGCATTTTTGTGGGCTATGGATTGTGTGAAAAAGGCTATAGACTGTATGATCCTAAGACTAGAAAGATTATCTTGTCTAGGGATGTCTATTTTGATGAAGAAGCCTCATGGAAATGGGAGAATCCTAGCAATGCAGATGTGAGAATGCCTATGCCAGATGGAAATCAAGGTACTGCAGAAACTGAACAGAGGGTATTAGATGAACAAACTCAGTTTTTGGATACTCAGATGCAGATGGAAGAAGAAATTGCACCTCAAGGGGAAGA